AAATAAATTTTATTTTCAATATTAGATATTTTAATTGGTTAGTTAATAAAATTAAAATTTATTTTTATATTTTTTGTCAAAAAATATAATAAATAGATTTTAATTTGTATTTTAAAGATACTTATTAAATTAACAAAATCTTTTTTTAAAATGTTATATTTTAGTTTTGTTATTTTTCTAATAATAGATTTTGTTTTGATTAAAAGGAAATAGTGGCAAAAAAAATTAAAGAAAAATAATGAGACAAGAAATTTGCTCTTGCCACCAAAAAAAAAAAATTAAAGAGAAAAAATGCTGTGGAATTTTCCCTCCCTTTTTTAGGCTATCAGTTTGCTTATGTGGAGTTACAGGCAACTTGCATGGCGCCACACTATTAAAAACTAAAACTTTCCATCAATGTTGTTAACGGTGGATAACAGATGAGTAACGGTGTTGTGTTGGGTAGATGAAAATGAAATGGTTTTGAAAGTTAATAGATGAACTTGAAAGAAAATAAAGTATCTAAATGAAAATGAAAAAAAAGTAATAGTTAATAGAAAATTTATTAAATAAAGCCATCAATTAATTACAATCATGCTTTTGAAAGAATTTTTTATGTTGGGTCATTATACATTTTTTAAAATCATTTCAAGATTTAATGTGTCATTTATTATTAAATATTTATATTTTAACCTTTATGGACTTGATAACAAACAAATATTATTACTTCAGCGCAATCATGCAGCAATGCTTTTATAGCATAGATGCTTTTGTTTCCTCTAATGATGTTTAATTTTTTGCAGTAACGCTTTATTCCAATCTATAATGGAATCCCCGAAATTTATTGTAGTCAATTAAATTTCAACATCAACAGTTCACGAAAATAAGCGGAGCCCATGGCAGCCCGCTCAAGTTTTATGAGATTTACAATTAAAATAAATTATAAAAACTCCACAATTATTAATATAACCAACTATTCAAGTAGCTCAACAGTAATCTTCTCTTTCTTAAAATTAAATATTATGAATTTAAATCATATGACATATAAATGAGATAAATTAAAGGATAAAAAATTGTTATCTTTCATTATGTAATTTAAGATAAAAAAATTAATATAAATAAAGATTTATTTATATATAAATATGATATATTATATTTACACAAAATTTTAATCATTTATCTCTTTATTTCCAATGGTCAATATTTATTATAATTTTTTAAATAAAAAAATAATTATTTTTAATAAATATTACAAAAAAATAAATAACAATTGAAAGGGACGACATGAATGATTAAAATTTTATATATGTATAATGTATAAAACTTATATGTAATTAAATCCTAACATGGAGAATCATGAAAGCATATTCAAATTAAAAAATAAAAAATGAATAACAAAGTTTGATCTTAAAATCTTATCTTAAGTCTCAACTGAAATTGGATTGTAGAGATAAATTGTGCTATTAATGTGTTGTAAAATAAATAGATAAATAAGTATAAGATAATGTATTTGAGAGATAAAATATTACCACAAAGAGTAAGTCTTCTAATGTTTCTGCTTCTCATTTGGGCCTAGTGAATGACAGGAGTTACCAGAATTAATCAATTACTAAACAAATATTTTGTTTTTATGGACACTAAAAGAGAGTCGAATCATCATTATAGAATATAAAAATGCATGGGAAAGTGAGGAATAAATAGCCATTACATGGAGGAACCGGCCCTTCAGATTCAATTATTTGTCTCAAGCCTTAGTATTTGAATTTAATTGGTTGGGAGTTCTACTCTCATTAATAACTTAAAAAAATTCCTCATTCTCCATAATTCTTCATCTTAAAAAAAAGAAAAAAGAAAAGAAAAGAAAATTAGCAATTACATGGAGGGTGTAAATACCTGTAAAGTGGGGAGGGGGAGGATGAGAAAAGTGAAATATTCACATTCACATTACATATAGTTGAACTTATTTTTCTTCTAATGAATAATTTTCTTATACAGGATTGAAGTGCAAAAAATTAATAAAAGAAAAAAAAATCAAAGTTAGCCGACAAAGTAATTATTCAAGGGAATTTTTAATTTGAGGGTACAGACTACATAAATTTATTATTCAATTAAGAAAATTAAACCTTAAAATTTATTTCAAATCAAGTAAGACATTTTAGTCTTAAGCTGAAATTCTGCTAAACTTCTCTAAAAATTGAATGGATATTCTAAAATAGAAATTAAAAGTATATTAAAATTACGCTCATACTTCTCGTTATGCATGAGATGGGCCATCATTGGTTTCTTCTTCTGGTTTTATAAACCACTTATTTAGACGTTCTGATGCCTTATTTACCTGTAGTATCAAAAAAAAAAAAAAAATCTAAATAAGAAAGGTTCCATCTATGTACCAATATTAAAGATAAAGATATGTCTTATTATCACCTCTTCTTTTGCCATTTTTCCATTTCTTTACGTTTTTCAAAATTTAATTATTTAATTCAGCCTAAGCAAGCAAAAATAAGTTTATTGTCTTTGACCCAACCTGCTGTAATACCCTGAATAATTTTCTGGATTTCTCGTAATTATTATTATTAAGAGGATTGAAATTTAATTATGAACAGATATAATTTTAAAATTCAAGAAATTATTATCTCATTAAATCAAATTAATTTAAAGATTTAATTTAGGATTATTTTTTTTAATTTAAAAATTATTATTTCCACAAATAAATTCAAACAGACGTAAAATCTGCCTTTTAACCCTATTCCTTTCTCAATATAAATTTGCTTTTACACAGTAAACACCTCCTCACAGATTCAGTCGTTTTCTTCTTTTAAAATTTAACCCTAAGATTTTAAATGTGAGTATATTTGTTCCTCTTGATTTCTTATCCTTTCTTGTTTCGTTAGATCTTTATTGCTAAATCCTATATTGTAATCCTCAGATCTCTTTTTTATATTTGTTATTAAGGTTTCATCTCAAATCTGACATCAAAATTTTAAATCCTGTTGAATTTTTATGTATTGTCTTAAAAATTATTCAATTAACAGTAGATGGTGTAAATATATATATATTTATTGATTTTAGTAGAAATTAAAGGGGATGAAGGAATCACAGTACAGCAGCACCCACGTAATTTGTGTGGGTGCTGGGTGTTGCTGGGTGCGTGATAGCGTCGCCATCGCTTTGCTGTTCTTGGAATTTTCAGTAGTGTCGACACTTTAATCCTCGTAACAGATCAGGTGCTAACACCTACTGGTCCATTAAAATAATATGAAAAAAAATAACAGGGGCTAGTGGTGCCCGTGTGGCGCACTACATGGGCACTATGTGCAAGGTTAGGGGTTGACACAATGGTGTCAATACCCTCAATTTTAATCAATAAACAGGTGTAGGAATTTTAATCAGTAAACAAGTGTAAACGCTTGTATAGGAAATTTAATATAAACCTTATAAAATTAGATATTATTAAGTTAAATTAAGATCAGTAATCCTGGATTGTTACTGATTAATATTCAATGTAAATTTTAGGTTCTTGATTATTTGCATATCTCAAATTTAAGATCTTTATTTTCGAGGTAAGTGAATTTATGGTTTTATGTTTGATTTTAAATATAATTTTAAAATATAATTTTTATCGATTTTGAGATGGTGACGAGATTAAAAACTTGTTTTGGTTTATTCATCATAACTGAATCTCATTTTATTCAAAGTTGGACTTTACTTGTTTAAGCAAGCCCAATTATAAAAATTTCTTAATACATGCTACTTGACCCATGTGATACATGTTTTCTTGAAATAAGTATGTTTACTTGAAATGTACTTACTAGCCTGTTTTAGTTTCCAATATAGTCATGTTCTACTTGTGCCCACTAGTGGAAGGCTTATAAACGCTAGCACATGTCGACATGTTATTTGTGGAATCGGTTCATTCTTGTTATACTTGTCATCCTGCTTGTGGGATTACACACTAGCAAATCTTGTGCTTGCCAGTGGGAGGTTTATAAATGCTAGCCATGACTTATAGAGGAGATGTCTATTTCATTTCTCGTACTTGTACTAGTTTTTTTGATACTTGACTTATTCTTGTTGGCTTGCTAAATTTTAAATTTATAAATAAAACAAGGAAACCTAATATTCACTTATTGAGAGTATATCTCACGTTTTTCCTTGTCCACCATTTCAGATAACGATACTAGAGACATCGGGGATCAAGGCATGTGACGAATACTTACTAGAGTCAATTTGGACTTAGTTGAGACTTAATTTAGTTCTTTTGGACTTATTAGAAAGTTGAGGATTTAATTAGCAATTGTTACATTATTTGACTTTGAGGTATTTATTTGAACATTACTTAAATTTTAATAATAATATCGATTTTAGTAAGCTAGCTTAGTTCTGAGCCTGGTGCACTTGTAAGTCTCACCCACAAGTGTACGGTGTTTGTTTCATTCTAAGGTTTGGGATGTGACAGATTTTGTGGTATCAGAGCCTAAGTTTAACGATATACCTAGGATTCTTAAAACGTAACTAGGAAATCAAATTAGGTGAACATGTTAGGAACGTGGTGAGGTGAGTGTGGGTTCTTAAGGGACGTGCTAAGATTTTTACATTGCTTGGACATCTATTCTTAAGTTATAATTCCACTTTTTCAAACTTGCTAGTGCTTGTTACCTAATTGCTTGTTGTTGAATTTTTCTTGCACCTGGTGTAAACCAAGTGCATGATCTTTGACATGTTAACTCGAGTCTTAGTCATTGTTCGTATACCAAATTAGTGACCTCAATACACCTACCTAAAAATATTGAATATTTCAAAAATTTTATACAAATGGTTCAAGAAAGCAAAGGTAAGGGAGGTAGGAGGGACAATGACCCTCCAGCTAGTGGTAGCTCCACTACACCCTCAGTAGCTATGCCTCAGAATGATGGAGTTGGAAATCCTTCTGCTGGACTCATTCTAGAATTCATAGCAGAAGTGAGACGTCAGGCAACTTCTGCAATGCCAACTCCACGATAGCTTAAATGGAGGGAACTAGCTGAATTTCGAAAGGTGCGACTAGATAGGTTTAAAGGTACTAAGGATGTAGTGTTAGTTTAGTCCTGGCTTATAGAGATGGAGAATACCTTAGTCCTTGGCAACCCCAGAAGGTGATAAGGTTAGAGCTGCTAGATTGATGTTGACTAGGCAAGCATCTATGTGGTGGACTGATTACCGTAGAACACATCCTGACGACCCCAAGATCACCACTTGGGAGGGCTTCAAGGATCTTTTCCTTGAAGAATACATACTAGACAGTATGAGGAGAGAAATGCAGCTATAGTTCACAGAATTAAAGCAGTCAGATTGTACAGTCGCTGAATATAAGGTAGGATTCAAGTGATACTGGCCATTTGTTTACAAAATGTTTGACTCAGAGAGGGCAAAAGTTGATCGATTTGTGCATGACTTGAGGCCAGATATTGATTTGGCTGTGAATCCTTTCCGTCCACCCACTTATTGTGAGGCAACTGATCGGCCTAAGTAACATGAGAAAGCCTTGCAGAGGGTGCAAGGACAAATTCAACCTCAAAGTAAGACTCAAGATCAAAATATCTCTTCCCAGCTTGGGAAGAAATGGAAGTTTGGAGAAGATTCCAAACCTACAAATGTTGTTCCTTCAAAACCTGGCACATGCAATGCTTTTGCTAGACCCGTACCCAACAAGACAACTAGTCAGGCCTCAGTGGCCTAGCCTGCCAAATCTACTCTACCTACTTGTTATCCTTGTGGGAAACTTGATGATACTCTGACCAAGTTGTCAAAATTGAGATTTTATGTAAAATTATTTTGATCAAGTGAAATCAGAATTGTAAAATCGAATCGGTAAAATTAAGAGTTTATTTAATTTAATAAATAAATAATAAAAATTTATATTTTTATATTAATATAATTAAAATTCAACAATAAAAAATTAAATATAAGGTTAAAGTTTATAATAACTCTAATAAAAATTAAATTTTAATATTATAATATGTGATAATATAAAAAAATTTAAAAAGAGAAATTAATTTTTAAATTAAATCATATTCATTTTTTTTATTCAAAAATTAAAAGTAAAATAAAAAAAGTAAAAAGAAAACATTCACACCCAATCCCACCTCCAATGCCACCTGTCAACACTATCTCCATTAAGATTTAGGATAATTACCCCTAAATCCCTTCATCTTCATCACTTCACCGCTCTCGGTTTCCCTCTTTTCTACTTTTTTGCTCCATTCAAGCTCCCTTTATCCTTATCTACTCCTTCTCTTTGAAGTAGATTTATCTTGCTTTGCTTTCCCTTCAACCTGGCTTACTCTTTCATCATTGTTCCTTTTTTAGGCAATAGATTTCTTCCATTTTTGCTCCATTTAAGCTTCCTCTCTCCATGTTTCTTTGTTCTTTGCTCCTTTTGGAAACAGATCATCAATAAGAGTTTCTAAATCAAACAAAGGGAAGTTCACACCTAAAATTAGAAGCATGGGTAGCAAGTTCAACGCCGATCTAGTGCCGATCCGGTGAGACCCAATGCAAAAGTTCAGATTTTGTAAGCTCACGCGTTTATCCGATTTCAAACGATTTTACGAGTTCAATGCGAGTCCACCACACGAGTTCACGAAATCCTGATTTTATGGACAATCTAACTCATTTTCCATCCCTAAGAATGTAAAATCATGCAATTTTAGGAGATAACTCACGATTTTGACAACAATGCTCGTGAACAATGCCATCTATCTTCTGGGGTGTGTTTTGGATGTGGCCAACAAGGTCACCACATTTCTCAATGCCCTCAATCGAATCCAAAAGATGTTAAGGTAGCACCACAGCAAGTACAAGGTCAGACACCTACTATTCAGAATCAAAATACCAGAGGGAGGACTAGACAACAAGCGCGTGTACATGCCATGACCCATCAAGAGCTGTTGCTTCAACTGTCATCACAGGTAGTATGTTTACCTAGGAAAAAAAAATCCTACTTATTTTATTATTTTCTTGTTAACCTCGCTTGCATGATTATCCTATCTACATAGGTACCCTGCTTGTTAACTCATCTTTTTTTTTTGAACGGCAAAAAATATTATTTATTTATTAATAAATGGAGTACAAGGGGTACCCCAACCCATAAACTTGACAATGTGAAAGACATA